GAAATTGCGTGAATACATCTCATACTACTGATTTACCGGTAGTCCTAGTGGAAGTCAAAATATCTGCTCATGTATGCTGCCTTTGAATGTGAAGAAGGCACTTCTTATCGTCAAGTTGATTAGTCGTGTTAATGACTCTCTCTTGGCATTCTATGATATCCTCTTTTCGACTTAAGCTCTCCAGTAAGAGCGGTAGTCCCTTTTCTCTAGAGATGTTTGCCTCCACAGAGAGTACATTCAAACTTACCAATAATTCTCTTCTTTCCAGTACCATGTTTTTTATCCTTTGAGAAAATTCACTGTGCATGTGTTTCAAGCATATAAACTTTATTTTTCGAATTAAGTATTGTTGTCATGACTACCAGTAAATCACTAGTATGAGATGTATTCATCCAATTTCGTTTAAGGTGATGAAGTACTGGTGGAAGAAGAATTTTCGCACAATTATTTTAGTTTAGCTGACGTTTCACATTGCCATGCTTTTCCCAAAAGTCGAAACTGCAATCCCCTCCGGCGGGGATGACAACAACTTTTGGGAAAGCAAGACTATGTTAAATTGAATGTAAACGTCAGCTCAGCTCATATGATTGTAGGAAAATTCTTCTTCTACCAGTCCTTCATCACCTTAAACGAAATTTGGTAAATAAATCTCATAAAAAACCAAATTAAGCGTAGATAGGAAGATTAAGATGTTGTGGTATCTATTCTGGTTACACTCTCCTTTCGACGTACAGAAATAGCATGACCTCCTTTTCGCAACTTGCCATGTTGCTATGACTACCTAGTAGGACGCACCTTGTCCAAAGTCGTTTGCTCCAGTGGTACTGATAGTTGGCAGCATCGAACCGTGGACTTGATACATTCCCAGACATTTCGCCTGCCTCGCAGTCGGAATCGTCAGTGAATCTTGTCAATCTCGGCACCAAGTTACGACTCGCCAAAGAGACAAGTCAAGTCAATCGCCTGACCAGCTTTCTGCCGAACAGTCAATATTAAGACAATGGAACATTCGGCTGACGACAAAGAAAGAAGCAACACTCTTCGCCAGTTTGTACACGCGACAGTTTGTAGACAAATCGAGTTTCTTGGACGTTTACTGCCTGAAATGAGGCGTCTGCAAAGGGAAATGTGTTGTTGAAAGAGATAAAAAAATCATAAAACGAATCCGGCAACATCGAAGGCTCTGCAGGAAAATGGATACCGAAAGATCAGAAATAACGGAACATATCGCACAGACTGGACACGAGATCAATTGGATGGCAACAGAAATAAGGGTCTGATACGGTGAAAGCTCAAGGAAACGAAAGATTAAGGAAGCCATTGGCATCGTTTGGGAAATAAATTTAACCAACAGGAGATTGGAGAGGAACAGAGTTGCTTAAGCAAACTCGGCAAAACCAGCAAAAAATGCTAGTATCAAGAGGATATTGTTAGCCGGAGGAAAAAGGATGGCGAGAAAGAAGTGGATGAGAGACAAAAGCAAATGAAAAGAAGAACAGCTGTTTGACGGAGCAGCTACAACTTTTGTGGGTCTGACGGACAATGGAATTGAGCCAAAAATAATCACAACTGTCATAGGAATTTGTTCTTTTCGGCCGGTAGATCAAAGCCAAATTGACTGGAAATCCCTCGAGATGGACTTTCACAGTTCATGAGATGTGTTCAACCCATTTCGTTTGAGACAATGCCAGACTGGCAATTGAATTTTATCACAATCTCACGAGTACAGTTGACTTTCCCACTCAATTTCACATAGCACCACTAGCAAAAGGGTGTTCTCATGCCGGCTGGATTAAACTACAATTCCCGCTTTCCTCAACTGGACTCATCAGCACATCCCAGCAGGACTCAAACCCGGGTCGTGGTAGTGCAACGAATACTCTCGACACGAGTGCCTTGATTCGCAGAGCAGATGTGCATTTCAAGGAAGACCGCCAGCCAATATCATTTTCTGTCGATGAAGAAAAGTTTTAATGGCTAAAGCAATATATATTTTCTTTTTTTTTCTTTATATATTTATATATATTTTTTTATATTTTGTGTTTATATATATATATTATATATATTTTTTTAATTTATTTATTAATATATATTATATATCATATCATAT